CCAGTCCTGTAAAAAGCCCTAAGAAGCAGAAACCGCCTTTGTCCTATGGATAGAAGGCTCCCTCTCCCTTCAAGGCCCCATCAGGCTGTCTGTGGTGTAACACTAGTATTCTGGGAACTGAGAGGAACTGAAGGCTCTCTCCCTTTGGTACTCCTGTCACACTACCCATGATGGCTGTCTCTTCTAAGGAAGCTCTTCCTGGATGTCTCACACTCCCACCTCAGGCCACGATGCTGTAACTTTCCTGATGAGGCTCACCTGAAGGGTGATTCTCCTCAGCTTCCTTTCTGGGAACTGACAGCATCTTCCATTGTGTTTAACACTAACACTCTTATCCATGGCCACCTTTTCTCATCACAGATGTTAATGGGCAGGTGTTCTGCGCAGAGCTTAGCCTTCCAGGAAGATTACAGCCCCAAATGGGTGGTATGGCACAGTAGACCATTTCATTCTTGGCTCACCTCAACCAATCAAGGCACTCCATTCACAAACCAGACTGTTTTATGCCTGTGTTACCTGGTTATACAGAATGCCTCATTGGTATAACTGAGGTAGGTGCCATTGGGACACCTGAAGGTATAAATAGTTTGAGCTCTCCAGTTTTAGTTGGACACAATTTCAAATGCATCAGTTCTAGGTTATGATGGATGGCTGCTTGTGGCTCTCACACTTGGGATTTGGTGAAAGTAACAAGATCCAACTGGGAAGGTCAGCGCTAGTTGCACAGTACCAGATGCCCCGTGGCCATGTACTCATTCTCTGCCAAGAACTACTGTGGAAATGATGGCTGCCTCTGGTATAGACACCAGCCCTTCCTCAGCATCTAATGTTTGTGCTGCTACTGTCCTAAAAGAACTTCTCGGAGATTCTGTGCAGCATCCTTACCCTCTAACCCCATTAGGCGAGCTCTGGGACAGCACTGCCTGAGGTAGCCGGAGCCAGCTGAGGAGCTCACTCCTACTCTAGGCTCAGCTTGAAACCAGCAGCCTTCCAGTTCATCTGATAAACAGAACCGAACAGTATTACTACCACGGTCTGTGCTGTCTCCAGAATCCAGCGACCTTCCAAGTATGACTGGGTTCCTTCTTAATGCTAGGGCTGATAAGACACAATCATTTCCCCTTTACTTGATGAGACTATTCGAGCATCTCCCACACTGTTGAGCAGCTAAAATATTACTTCATTGGTGTGGGCGGCCTCTTGATTTTTCTTGTAGGCGTTCTCATTTACTCTCTGGTTCCAGCGTCTTCCAGAATACTTGTCAGCTCCCCCTCCTAGATCTGATTAATGTGATTTTATCCATATGGTGGACCAGCATACACTTCTCCAGAATGTTGAGAAGATAATATTTTTAGCTGTATTTGTTTGTGGCAGGCCTATATTGACAGGGAACAGAAGAGTTCCTCTGTCTGTAGAGCAATGGATGAGCACTGCTTTTGTTCTAGACAATCACAAACTGTTATTGACCCGCTTTACTAGCAGGTTGAAAACAACATACTCACTAGCTCAGGAGGCATCACCAGTTACCAAAGTCTGTGTTGATCTGGTTAGCAAAAAACGTTAAGTTTGGGGGCTACAGAGATGGCTCAGTGGTTAAGAGCACTGGCTGCTCTTGCAGAGGACCTGGGGAGTGCTCCCAGTGTCCATGTGGTGGCTCACAACCACATGTAACTCAAAGGGACCCAATGCCCTCTTCTGACTTCTGTGAGCACTGCATGTACGCGCACAAGGCACTTATTATATACATGCAGGCAAAACATTTATAACATAAAAATCAGTACATTAAAAAAAATTAAATTCTTAGTTTAGCACAACAGCTGAGATTGTGACTCCCACTTTCTGGAACTTTCATTAACCCACCAACTGATTTTAAGCTCTTAAGAGTGGTGCTAATCTCTACTACTCTACCCAAGATTCAGTCCCACTCCAATATGGGTGGGAGGTAGCTTAAGGAACTTCCATTTTTGCTTTTCATACTGCAATGACTCTTACCTCACAAGCCAGGAAACCTGCTACTAGTTAGATCCATCTCAACTCTGCAAGCAGGAACTGGAAAAATAAGTTTGGACTAGAAATCCATGTAACTCTTGACTTCTAGAAAGCTCCCCGACTCTAAGCAGAAGGACAGTGACAGTATTTTGTATCTTATGGTATTGATGTCAGCTCAGACCCATCATGCCCGACAGCTTTCAAAACATCTAGATGTTCCCATGATTAACGTCACTCTGATAAATGTCTCTAGGACCATTTTGGGAATGGAGTGAGGACACCAGGTCTCTTTGGAGGAAGGGGTGAGGACACCGGGTCCCGGTGAGGGAAGGAGTGAGGACATTGTAGGGGGTCTTCTTTTAAAGTAGCATACTTCCCTTAAATCAAGTCCCTGAAACTCGCCCCAGGCCTGGAAATTTGATGTGAAATTATGACACTTTCCCATTGTAATCGACCTTCTACTCACCTCCTCTTGGTTGCTTTTGATCACACAGGTAAGCGGCGTTCTCATTGGCCATTCACATCTCTCACCCCTAGAAACAGCACTGCTCTGGATCCCTGAGGTTTCGGGCTTTGATTTCCTTGCAGTCTTGTTGTGAGTCGTGGTAATTACACCTACCCAGACTTTGACAGGTGAGGCGCTGTCCCTTGATTTGTGCCTTTCCAGAATTCCATCATCTCATTGACACTAGGGACCCTGGTTTTGCAGAACATCTCTCACCATTAACCCTGGACCAAAGGCAGCCTCCACTGAGCAACCTCGCCAGCACATTCCTTGTTACTTTAATGAGAAAAGTGTCCGCTGAAATTTCCCAGGGAACATAATCAGATGGAGGGTTCTCTGGTTTTATATAATACATTCCCTCTGGCATGCTTAGCACTGTGAGGCTTTTGACCGCCTCCTCAGTACTCTGCTAAGATATCTCAACTTTATTTCCCACAGACCATCCAAGCTTCAAGCAGCTATTCTACGTAAGCATCAGGTCCAGTTAGCCTTACCAAGATGTTAATCCAAAACCATAGAGGTGGGTGGTGGTTAATCTTGATTATCAGCTTGGACCAGAAAGCAGCTAAGAGAAACACCTCTAGGGTCTCCATTTCTGGGCAGGAAGACCTTCCTCTAGAGTAGGCAGTGAGTATGGGGAAGGCTGGGATAAAAACAGAGTTGTTTCCTTGTCTTTCGTATTACTGTTGAGTGTGTCTGTCCCTCTGGCAGGATCCTTTTCTAAAAAGAGATTTATTTATTTTAATGTTATGTGTGTAAATGTTCTGCCTGTGTGTATGTCTGTGTATCACGTGTGTACAGTGCCCAACGGAGGACAGATGGTGGCATGTCCCTTAGAACTGTACTTACAGACCGTTGTGAGCAGCCATGCGGGTGCTGGGAATGGAACCTGGGTCCTCTGGAAGCGCAGTGCTCCTAACTACTGAGCCATCTCTGCAGCCCCCACAGCACCCGTTCTTTGCTGGCATCCCCACTCCAGCTTCTTCCGGTTCAACCATGGATTCCAGTGGCCCCGTGGGAATCCTCCAGGTCTTCAGCTCCAGACTGGCAGTGAGGTACCCAGCTTTGTAGACTCGCACCCCCTCCAGCATGCAGCCATCGCTGTACTCCTCAGCCCCCACCGTTGGGTGAGCTAGTGAAACGACTTCTTTGTATAGTATACATCCCTTCTATCAGTTCGGTTTCTCTAGAAGGCCCTGGCCCGTACAGGGTATCTCCATATCATGAAGTTGTCTGTATCTAACGTATGGTCTGCCTTCCTTCGTCCAGCAAGCTCGGAAGCCGTGCCCATCGATGTTTTCCCACATGTGAGTCATGTCCTGCAGTGCTTTTGGTTATTGATTCCAGTCTTGCCTCACTGGAGCCATGCTGAAGCCTGACCCTCGCTATCAGTCTAGAAGCAGGGAGAGGAGGTAGTGAGGGATGGCTCTCTTTTGTGTGGGGAAAGGGGTACATCTGCTGGCCCAGGTTTTTTTTTTTTTTCTCTTAAAAATCAAAACTTAGCATAGGCCCTAGGCTCCAAAAAGCCAGCTCATGCACTAAGGACAGGTCCTGGTCCCAATGCCTAGGGACCTCCCAAACAGTTCAAGTTAATTGACTGTCTCACTTATCCAGAGGGACTGATCCAGGAGTCCTTGCCCTGGAGAAGGTGGGAAATGGGGGTTGGATTGGGAGGAAGGGAGGAAGGGCAGGAGGAGGGAGGACAGGGGAATCCGTGGCTGATATGTAAAATTAAATTAATTATAAAATTAAAAAATAAAATAAAATAAATCAAAACGTAGTCAGTCGGTAGTGGTGCACACCTTTAATGCCAGCACTCAGGAGGCAGAGGCAGGTGGATCTCTGTGAGTTCAAGGCCAACCTGGTCTACAGAGCAAGTTCCAAGACAGCCAGGGCTGTTACAGAGAAACCCTGTCTTGAAAAGTGAAAGAAAAAAATTAAAACTTTTTTTTTTTTTAAAAGATGGGTATAAGTGTTTTGCCTGCATGTATGTCTGTGCACCACATGCGTGCCTGGTGCCTGTGGAGGCCAGGAAAGGGTGTCAGATCCCTTGGATTGGAGTTACAGATGGCTATAAGCCACGATGCAGGTGCTGGAAACTGAACCTGGGTCCTCAGCAGGAACAACCAGTACTCTTAGCCACTGAGCCACCCCTCCAGCCTGGGTTCAGGTTCTTTGTTGTTGTTGTTATTGTTTGTTTGTTTTGAGACAGGGTTTCTCTGTGTAGTTTTGGTGCCTGTCCTGGATCTCTCTCTGTAGACCAGGCTAGCCTTGAACTCCTCCTGGCTCTGCCTCCCAAGTGCTGGAATTAAAGGCATGCACCATCGCTGCCCAGCTTGGTTTCAGGCTCTTAAAGGCATCCACTTAAACAAAGCCCCATCCCACTGCCAGGTCTTGATCTCACTGTACCAGGACCCTCACCTTGGTGCATGTTAAGACTATGGATCCTCCTCCTCTTTTTTTTTTTTTTTTTTTTTTTTTTTTTTTTTTTGTGATTAGACTGAACTGAGCATAGGTCCTCACACAGGCCAGTACTCTGCCTCTGAGCCATACTCGGTCCTCATCTTCCCTGGTAATTTTGCCACTCTTGCAATCAAAGTTTGGCCTGATTTTTGAGCACAATTTGTCCTTTAGCTACGGAAGATGAGGATCACTTTGAACATTGCTATGCAGGCCCTGTGGCTTTCACAATGTGCCCTGATGTGATACTAGGCAGATATAAAAGCTTGCTACTTTTTTTTTCCTTCTAGGTTTCTATGGTAGGTGACAATAGACAACCAACTCGGCCGTCCCTATGGTTACCGCTGTCCCTGTATCTTTCAGATGCCAGAGCTGTTGAATAAGCATAGCATCTCCTCTGTCTCCCAACCCAGTCTATAGGTAAGAGCTTTACCTTACTGTGATAACGTAACAGCTGGTATTGCCACCCCGTGTACCACTAACTGCCCTCAGGTTAGCAGATGTTAGAATCTGTTTCCTTGGATCAGTTTTGGCACCAGCTTTTTTTATAGTAAAAAGGAATTTGTGAATGAATAGCTTATTTGACGGTGTTCCCAAACTGCAGCACGGTGGAGAAAGTGAAGAGAGAGACTGGGGAAGGAACTCGGTAGAACTTCCACTATGGAGCCAAGGCCTCATCTCCAGTTCATCACTGGCACAGAACTGCTTCTAAAGGCCTTCACCACTCCCAGAACCTCCAACTCATCTCACTCATAAAAGTAAAAGCCCTCAGCGGCCAGTCACAGGCGTTCACAGTGGGGTGCCATTCATTTGTGTAATACTGGTGAATGTTGAGGGCAGTTGAGTGTGTCGTTGACGGTGTATATGTGGTAGACTAGATTAAAATTCTCCAGCCCCAACCCCACACAAAGGGCAGTGTCAAGGAAGCTTGTCTTTCCTTACTTGGGAGAACCATCCCTTGAGAATTTGTAACTGTCCGTACCCGACATTGAGCTTGCTGCTTGAATTTATTCTCCTTAATAGTCCAGAAACCCAAACTAAGGAATTAGTATAAAATTTGCCTCAGGCCAGTGATACCTGTGGGATGCTCAGCGGAAGCACACAAGGCAATAAAAAAAGTCTTCATACAGCTTAAGATACCCAGATTTGCAATCACCCAGGAAACACATCTTTGGGTGGTCTATGAGGGTGTGTCTAAAAAGGCTAACTGAAAAGAGAGGACCCATCTTGAATGTGGTGACATCCTGTGGCCTGGGGTCCTGAACTGAGCTGAGTACCAGCATTCATCTCTCTCTGCTTCCAGGCTGCAGATGCCATGTGACCGGCTGCCTCGCCCCTGCCGCATGCCCTCACTGCTGTGATGGACTCCACCTTCAAACTGGAAGCAGAAATAAGCCCTGCCTTAGGTTGCTTTTGTAAAGGTATTTTGTCATAGCAACAAGAAAAGCAACAAAGACGGGGTGGAGGAGGAACAATGGCTTTCTTTTTTCTTTTATCTTCCTCTTCCTCTTCCCTTTTTGTTGTTGTTGTTTTGTTGTTGTTTTGGCACGGTTTCTCCATGAAGCTCTGGCTGCCCTGGAACTCTGTGTAGACCTGGCTGACTCAAAGAGACCAGCCTGCCTCTGCCTCCCAAGTGCTGGGGTTACATACCCATGCCTGGCTGGGAATGACTTTGAATGAAGCTAAATGATATAACATAATGCTGTTAAAACGGTTCACAGAGCCAGGCCATGGAGAAGTGGGGGTGTCTCCTGGATGTAGAGCTTCAGTCCTGCAGGATGGGAAGGTTCTGGTGCTCCACAGCAACGTGCATGTCCCTAATGCTGCTGAACTACATACTTTAAAATGGCTAAGAAGGTAACTTTTATGTTCTATATTCTTTATTACACTGAAAAAAAGATAAAGAAAATTTAAAAGCAAAGAGGATGCTTGTTCCAAGATGCTAGAGTGAAAGGTGAATGCAAAATTTTATAAACCATCTCATCTCATCCGTGAGAAAACTCTGTTGTTATAGTAGAAAAGGAAGGTTTGGGAAAACACATTAAAATACTAACAAAACTGGTTGGCAGAATTATGGGTGATGAACTTGATTTTTCTAAACCTGTTTTAGTAATCTGTCCCTTAGGATTTCAGTTCGAGAAATGGAAAACTTAGTTTAAACTCTCTCAGAAGACAAGGGAATAAATTTTTGGCTCCTGGAACTGAAAAGGCCAGAGGTGGGGTGAGCTTAGGGTCGATTCAGTTCAGAAGTGGCCTTCAGGGACCTGCAGCTGCTTCTTTCTGTCCTTCCCCATGGCCCCAGCCTGACCTCTGAGGCTGGTTCCCTGCACAGTAGGGCCACAGCAGAACCACACTGGCCCTTGTCTTCATAAGCACCGGGCAACGGATGCTCGAGTCTCCTTGGCCGCGGTGCGTCTCATCTTTCCATTCTGACTCCCCGTGGTGATTCTTCTCGGTCCACGCACAACCCACTCAAGGTGCTGGCCACCAAGGCTGATGACCTAAGTTTGATCCCTCTCATGCACATTGTAGAGGGAGAGAACTGCCGTCCAAGGTTGTCCTCAGATCTCTACACATGTGCTGTGGCATGCATATGTTCACACAGAGAAAAGTAAATAAATAAATTAAGAAATGAAAGTTAAAAACTGCTTTTGCTAGTCCTTGTCATACTAGTAACTTATGGAACAAAGCCAACATTCTGAAATCAGCTTCAAACTCATAATCAACCAGGAGTGACATAAATAGTATTTAATGAGTAATATTGTGCAGTTATAAATCTGTGGGAGGTGTCATTTGCCATGGTACCATCCTGGTGACTTGAGCCACCGCCATAGCCAATATTACTTAGTCACCATCAGCTCAGAGTAGCACATAAATCTGTAGGGTACCCTTAGCCCATCAGCATGCCAGAGCATAGGTTCTACTACCAGACACAGAGGGCCGAGGGAGAGCAGGGCCATCCATATCAAATACTAACAGAAGCATGGACTCAAGAAAGGAAAATAAAACCCACCCAAAGCCTCGGTGGCATTTAGTGAACTTTTACTTCCCTGAAGACTAGACAAACTAGGATCAAAATGAACTTGGTTAGTTATAGGCCCACCTTGCCAATCTTCAGTGTTCGCGTCTGTAAAATGAATTAAGAATTGCCTCTAACATCAGTTGTGAAAACTTAGAGTATATTCATCTGTTTTCCATTGCTGTATCAAAATACCAGAGGTCGGGTAATAGATAAGGAGATTTAGCTGGCTTGTTTAAGAGACTAGAATCCAACATTCGGTGGCCTTCTTTACTTTCTGGTGACGAGTTCCTTGCCTCTGTCATATGTTATATGGCAGTGTACTGGAGGACTGGGAAAGGGAGGGTTATATGACAAAAAAGGGACCTGGAGATCAGACTCCTTCTTTCATAACGACTCACGCACTCACAAGCCAGCTGAGGGCCATGAAAAACATCTGAATCCCTTCTGAGGCTGGGGCCTCGATGACCTACCCATTTCCCATTAGAATGTACCTCTTACAAGAATATACCACCTCCACACCAACACTCAGAAGACCCAGCTGCCCAAATCGGAACCCTCCAGAACAAGCCACATTTAAACTGTCACACAGAAAGGGTACAGCCAGGGTGTCTAGCTCGGGGCTTGGCCCAGTGGGGAGTTAGTTGATGCCGAGGAACACTTATTATCTCAAGAGACCCCAGGAAAAAACTCAGAAAACTGAGGAGCTTATAAATGCCTTCGAAGGGTGATCAGCTTCTCTAGTTTCTGCAGTATGGAAAGAGCCACTGGCCTCTCCACCATCTCTCCCCCATTTTGGGCTTGAACCATCCACTCATCCACACTGCCCCTGTCTCTAAATATAACAAACTGACAGCCACTAAGGCTGGCAACAGCTCTTTCTGAGCTGGAGTTTCTGACAGCCCAACCCCTACAAGCTGTTCCTGAGTTATTTCAAGGGACATTTTGCTGTCAATCACATACCCCTCAAGTGGACTACACAGGCTAGGCTTGCACCGGGGATCCTGAGAGGGTGGAAACAACATTTGTTTCTTGGAAATTAGCACACTGGTTCACGACCCACAAAAGGAAGCCGAGAAAAGAAATTGCTGCTAACAGGGAGGAAGCTATTCTTACTAAGAACCCCATCTGCATCAGACACTGAGCCACCTCCCGAGTCCTAGCCAGAAGGCAGGCAACAGGGCTGGGAGATGGCGCCAAAGGTAAAGCCATCTGAGTTCGGATCCCATCTCAGTTAGGAAGGGGGGTTTATACCAAAGCACACACCCTTCTCTCCACCCCTTCCTACCTCCTGACTGGGAAACAGAGTCTGACTGTAAGCTCCTACTATGAAAGCCCATCCTCAAAGAGCTAGAAGCAGGCGAGCAGTCAACCCCCTCTTCCATCTGTGGGTGCTACCTCCTCTTTTCAGAGACCCCGCCATGCTGCTGCCTCTCTGCCTGTATGCCCATGGCACTAATAACTCCTTTGATAAACTCTTTACTCCCCAGCAACCCACCCCAATGTCTGCCAGGCTCTATGCGACCTTGTTGAGTCCATGCAAGAAGGCAGATAGATGAGCCAGCTAGTTTTTATGTCAGCTTGACAGAAGCTAGAGTCATCTGAGAGAAGGGAACGTCGGTTGGGAAATGCCTCAGGGTTATAGGCAGGCCTGGAGGACATTTCCTTAGTTAGTGATGGATGGGAGCAGGCCCAGCCCATTGTGAGCGAAGATATCCTGGGATGGTGGTCCTGAATGCTCTAAGAAAGCAGATTGAGCAAGCCAGTAAGCAGCACTCCTTCATGGCTTGTGCATCAGCTCCTGCCTCCTTCCTGTCCTGTTTAAGTTCCTGCCCTGACTGACTCTGATGATGAACTACAACGTGGAAGTGTAAGTGAAACAAACCCTCTTCTCCTCGACTTGCTTTTGGTCATGGTGCTTCATCACAGCAATAGGAACCCTATCTAAGACATTAGATAACAGGGCTGGGGATGTGGCTCTGCGGGTAAATTCTCAGAACCTGTGTAAAGCTGGCCCTGGAAGCTGTAATTCAGCATCCTATGTCCCCAGGCAGGAAACAAGAGACTCTGCCTTGAACAATGTGGAAGGGGGGGGACCAATACCAGAGGCTGTCCTCTGGCCACCATTGTATACATGTAGGAGTACTCACACAATGTGTGGGTCTGTGTACCCATAGACAGACAGACAGACACAGACACACACACACACACACACACACACACACACAATTGTTTTGTTTAAGAAAGAAGGCAGATACTTCTTACAAGCAATGAAACTAAGGTTCAAAGACACCAGCTTGCCCCAGCTGGGTTCAAACCTGGGATTTCCAACCACAAAGTTCTGCCAGTATTTCTCAGAAGTGATGTTATTAGTATTGGGAGCAGAACAATTTTTAAAAACTGAATAGTATTTAGCATCTCTGGTCCCTGAGCAGTAAAGGTCAAAAGCAGGTCCAGGTCATTATAACAATTAAACCTGTCTGGCAGGGTGTGGTGATGCATGTCTGGAATTCCAGCCCTCTGAAGATGGGGGCAGGAGGATTGTGAGTTCAGCCTAGGATATGTGTGGAGCAGGGCGCACACCCTGGGCGAAGAGCTACTTCGATCAAACTGTCTCTGTTAGAGACTAAGAGGAGAAAATTTGCAAATGCGACCTTGAGTGACATCCCCTTCAGTGGAGACACAGTTGCTGGCCTGAGGATGCGCACTCACATCCAGTTTATACATCTCCCTCTGTGTGCAGCGTGTGTGTGCCAACGGAATGTGGTGTATGAGGTGTGCCCTTGAGTGAGTGTACGTAGGAGTGTGGAGGTCCAAGCTGCCCAAGACCCCTGCCATTCTCCCTCCACATCCAGTCTCTTCAGTCCTGTTTTTTTTTTCCCCTCCTAAATGCATCTCACAGCCTCTTCTGCTTTCCCTCCCTTCTGTACCATCCTGTGTCAAACCTCCTCATCTCTCACCCGGGCCACGGCAGCAGCCCTTCCTCTAGGTGCAGATCGGCCAGCTCGCTGTCCTCACCACTGTCAGCATGATCTTCCTGAAAGACAAATCAGACCAAGTCACCGACTCCCTGTCTCAAGATTCCCCAGTCGTTGCCATTCTAGCGGTTCTAGAAGCAGAGTCCTGTATCTCAATGCAACCTTCAAACAGAAATACCGTATGTGATGGGCAGCAGATAGATGAGGAACTGTTCTGTGAACTGTGTAGGCACCTTAGGAAGGCATGTGAGGGCTTCCACCGTCTGTCCCTCTGCTGTGTGTGTGTGTGTGTGTGTGTGTGTGTGTGTGTGTGTGTTCATTAGTATACTGGTGCACAAGTGTGTGGGTGTTCATGTGCATGGAGGCCAGAGACACTCTCGGCTTTTGTCCTCTCATTGATCTGGAGCTCTCCAGATAGATGCTGGCCAGCCAGTGAGTTCCAGTTTCTGCTTCCTCTGAACTAACATAGTCATCATACCTGGCTTTTCCTGCCCCAAACCTGGGTTCTGGGAAAATCCCACTCAGGTCCTTGTGCTTTCAAGGCATATTTTATCAACTGAGCCATCTTTCCAGTTCCACGCCACCATCTCTGACCTTACAGAAGAAAACAGGGCCTGAATTTGAGGAGTCTAGAACCAAATGGAGTTCAAATCCTTTCTCAATGGACAGTCTTTCACCTCTCTGGGCCTGGGTTTCCTTAATGCTAATGTGGGGACTTCATGGGGACTCTTGAAAGTGAACTGGGTGTGTACTTGTAAAGCACCTAGGGTAGAATGCCTCCTGGTATGGAGTAATTGCTCCGTCAATGTTAACTCTTTTGACCTTGCTTACACTTGACCTTGAGCTGCCCCAAATGACTG